TAAAAGAGATTGATATGGTGTTTTTAAATGGCAATATATCAGCATATGAAGATATTGGGATATTTTAATGTATCAATATTTTTTCCCTCATCTTTAGAAGTTTTTAAGTCTGTAAAAAAGAAGTTTTTGAGGAAGAAGAATAATATATATATTTTTTTAAGACTTTAGAAACTCAGAAGCTGATCAAATATCGGCTTAAATATCGGTGGGGTGGCCGATGTCCGATATTCAGTTTTAAGGCCGATACCGATAAGGGGCCGATTATATCGTGCATCCCTAGTATACCCGCCTTTAATCATTACAATTACTGATTGGCTCATTATTGAGGACTTCTTAAGCGGTGGACTGTCACTACCTCAACGCCAGAGTGTTTGCCAGTTTTGGGAAGTCATCCTGAATTCTGGATGTTTGGCCTTCTCCCCCTGGAAGGATCGTTTGTGCTTCACACTGAGCAGGGGATTCATCACCACACGATCCGTTCAAATTCTCCAGGAAATCTAAGTGGCAGTCTGCCCCATTGCTCCTCAGGAACCAACCAAACCAAAGACCTGTCCTTCCTCCAACGAGCCCCTCGATCTCTGGAAAAACCCACATTGACTGGATTCTGGAAAGAAACCTTTCTCCGTAATCTTCCGGTTCACCAGCTCTCTGAGTTTCCCCGAATCCAACCCTTTGAACTCCTTAATAAACCTGTTAAACTCAAAAAAATTATTACAATAGTGCCCCTGATGGCTAATTTTTACACTGTGTTCTTTTATCAATATAATTTATCATAAATTGAGCATATATGAAGTAGAGCAAGAGACTCATTAATGCCAGCTAATAGGTTAAGGTAAAAAGAAAACATCTGGGTAGTGAACCTTGTGGAGTTCCCTTATTATATATTAAATTATCTAAAAGATAACAGTACAAATAGGAGAAAGTGTGAGATATGTAAAATAAAATAGAATTTCAATCTTATACTTTTTGATTCTTTTTTTTTTTTTATTTAAGTGCAAAATAAAAAACACATTACCTCAGGCATCCATCAGATGACTTGTAGCTTGGATGGGTTCAAAAACAACTTTTTTATTATAAAAAACGTCAACATATGTTTTTGATATTTTGCTGTGACTCTTACAGGATGTCTCCGGAAACACCCAGCTCTCCTCCACCCAGTTTTCGCACAATGAAAAAAAAATCTATGAAGGTTGAAAAACAGTTCAAAGACAGAGATCAGTCTGTAAATCTGAGGTAAATGGTTGATTTTACGAGAAAAAAGAGTCGTATTTTAAGAGAAGACCGCATTTTTATTTTCTATCTGTGTTTTTTTTAGGATTTAATCTGCATTAAATCTTTTTTTTTTTGTGTTAGTGTCGACCAAGAGGTCCAAGGTGAGGGCAGTGATCCCTCTGTCCTTCAGCATCAAAGAGAACTGGATGCAGTATTTAAGGTAAAGAAAAAAGAAAAACACTCAATAACAGCCTTGTTTAAATCTATTTAGGCAAAAGCTGGATTTAAGAAAGTTAAATTAGCTTCCAAGGTCTTCCAAGTCTTGATCTTGAAGCCATTCAGAACAATGTTGTGAAATTGGTCCCCATAGAAACACTAAGATAAAGGGTTCCACCCACCTGCGGACAGGTAAGCCTGACACGATTAAGACACGTGCTTCTGCAGACTAATGGATAATCACATTTAAAGAGACATTTTTGAAGTTTTTAATCAAAAATATGTTTAAAATATCCTATTTTTAGCCCTTTAACACTGAAACATGGTTTGATGAGCCAGGGGCGGACATAGGAAATGGGGCCCTAGGCAAGGACAGGCAGGGGGCCCCTCTGTATTGAGAAGACGACACATAAAACCGACTCATTTGCAGATAGAGAAATTTGAATAGAATAGACATACGTTATTCAGTGGCGGTTCTAGACTAAATGCATGCTGGCTAAAACATGCTGGCCCCCTCCCCCCCGCCAGCATGTTTTCATGGGGGCCCAGAAAAGCATGAAATAAAAAACAGCAAGGGATTCAAATACTGTATATTAAGAGAGCTGCATGCAGTGAAATTTCTATTCAATTAGGTTTAATTAAAATTCTATGTCTTGTTAGGTAAATGTACATTCATAATTTAGGAATTTTACATATTTTTAAAGTTACCATTTTCTATAAAATTTGAACAAGAATTCAAGAAAACTGAAAAATTCAGCTGTAAAAAATGTGAGTATTTTGTTTTGAAAAAAAACTTTTAACAGATGAAAAGTGGGATCCTATCTCAGCACCACTGAAGTTATCACCTTATTGTTTTTAAATAATTAGCAAAACAGAATTTGTGAAGAAAAAAAGTGAAATAGGTCCTTTGGACCTATCAGTAACCATCATTAGAATTTCTCTTAGTTTTATGTCTTCAGTTCAGGGGCCATAACAGGGGCCAGGACAT